CCCCTCCTCCCTCCCCCACCTGGCTTGTTAAAAGGCAGGAAGTCTCCCCCGGTCTGGCTCATGAACTCTCTAACCATCTGGGATGACTCCTCACTTCTTTGAAGTCTAAGAACCGATGCAGAAAGCACAGGCTTTATCAGGGAAATCTCAGAAGAGCTTCCGATCCAAGCCTGGTGCTCGATTCTCCGCTGAGAGCCACCAAAGTTGGCTTTCTGGGGGAAGACTGGCGGAAGTAGATCGGGGTTAGGCTTCAGAGCAGGGTGCCTCAGTCGCTTCGGATTGTCAGCTTATGGTCCTGTGGATACGCAGCCAGCTTCCGTTGCTGCTTGACTTACATGCCAAGCGTGGAGAAACCTCGGATTTTCTTGTAGGAATGACACTGGGTGTGTCCTTGTGGAGGTGTGGTGTCCCCTTTGCCAGGAGGAGGTGAGCACTTCTTTCTGTGACCCATTTTAGCTGTGGCTGAAAGTTTCACGTGGCAATCCTGTGCTGGCGTGAACTCACCTTGTTTCTGAGAGAGAGAGACCACTCTTCAATTTGCGGGTTGCCCAGCCTCAGACATGATTTAATTAGGGTTAGGGTTGTTGAAAATAGTGAATTGTGAGCAAGGTGTTACACTGGAACATTTTCTGTTTTAAAAATGTATATGGCCGTCCAACTTGAACAATGTGACTCGGGGCAGCTTGCAAAAAACAACCAAAATAAACCAACAATCAGCAATAGCAGTAATAACTACTAAAGTGCGACTGGAGTAGTGTGAGTGGGTAGTGTAGCTTTTCGTGCTGAGACCTGATGTGAGTGAGGCAATGTAACATGAAATGAGGACAATTCCACAGTGTTACGATGAAGGAAAAATGTATTTAATTTCTTTGAGAAAAGGATTAAACTAGAAATTAATTCTTAGGTTCTAGAAACTAATTCATTGTGTTCTATGATTTCAGGTGGATTTGCACATTTCTCACAAAGGCATTTCTGGTCATCAGAGTTTATTTTTTAATTCTCAACTATAAGAACTTGCTTTGTTATACACGGGGCAGATGCTGCTCGTGACCACATTGCAGTAATTGCTTATAAACATGCTGAAATTCTCCCTGAACTAACGAAGGAAATCTTCTCCTTAAGGGGCCAGCCAAATGGATCCTGTGGTTGGAGGAATAAGGCACCGAGGTGTTTCCGCCGTTTCCTCTCCAGCTCTTCCAGCAGCCCTCGGGGCAGCAAAGTAAGAGACGCTTCAAGGGTGGGTGAATGTGGATGTCTGGTTATTATTTTTGGTTGAAAAACTAATCAGATTCTTCGAGCACACTTTACAAAAAGAGTCCTTTCGCTTCTGTTTCCTTAAACACTTCCCCCTAGTTCGTTCTTCTTTGCGTTCAACTCTAAAATAACCATAGATCTTCACTGCTGTCAATTCTGGCCTCCTTTCTAACCTCCTAACCTAGCTGTAGCCAGGGATGCAGCTCTGGAATACAGTGAAAAGCTGCAGGGGCTTTCCTTGTGGTCTTCTTTTTTCAGCCCCCTAACAGATGACGGCGTAAAGTCTGGTCATGCCAGAGGTTTCCAGTATTCTGTGCTGAAAGCGATTCCACATTCCCATTTCCAGCAGAGGAAGGACTGGTATGAGAACACCGACCAAGATCTGCGTGATTACGTTGTGCAGAGGCTGTGAGTAAACTTTTGAGATTTGGGTGGCCTGTTGCTTGGAAATGGCAGCAGAGAAATGGTGAAGACATGCTTTGATATTCATTATATGTGATGTGTTATAGGGAAAATATACAAATTATAAATGTTTGTTTGCTCTGCTTTTTATTCTCCTCCCCATCTTTGTCTACTGCAGTTTTTGGATGTGGAATTCTGAGTAAAATCTGGTTCTCTGGGTTTTGTAACGCTGGGGTTTTAAAACCCTTTTGCATCAACTTGGGGAATATGAAAATAATGTGTGTGTTTTTTTAAATGATTGATTTATTTGAATTGATTACCCACCCAGCTCCAATGTTTTGCCAGTCCTTTAACAATCATTCTGAAGGCATGTCATCTTTTCTGCCTGCAGTGTACACGCTATCTTTCCAACTCCTGACTTAGCAATCCTGAAAGATCACCAGGTAGAGAAGGTGGTGGCTTATGCCAAGAAGGTGGAAGGGGATGTTTATGAATCAACAAACCATTGGGTAGGTTGTGTTGCTGTTGTAGTCCCCAGAGTGGCGCTCCTCTCACTCTGCTTGCTTGTGACCCTGTAGCACAAGTCCCCGATTTAAGAGGAAACCGAGGCTGAGGATGGCTGTGAATGTGGACCTTGAAAAGCAGTTTTTAATCAAGTCAGTCCAGTGCTAGCCGGAGAAGTGAGTGGGAAACAGAGCTTAAGAATCCTCCAAAAGGAGATACTTAAACCATTCTAGTGAGGGGAACCTGGAGGACAGGAAAAAAACTCCTTGTGGTGACAAAAAGAGCTTCCTTAGTACAGCTCTGAAAAAAGACGACTTTGCAGGGAGTAGAAACAGGTCCACATCACCAGCAGTTCCCCAGAACTCCAGAGTCAGGGTCGGGAAGTGAAAGCTCAGAAGAAGCTGAGGTTGGCAAAGGATGGCACCTTCTTAGGCAAGCTCAAGAGAAGAAAAAACCCACTAAGGGAAGGAGGCAGGATGCTGCTCTACGGGGCTGGGAAGAGCTTCCTGTTCAAGAGGAGAAACCTGGTTGGGACCTGCCCTGCTCAGGTGAGCACGGAGCCCAGTCGACAGTGCCCAAATCGAACACTGCTTTTCCTGGGATTGTGCAGCAGTTGCGGGTGGCAGCCGTGCAGTCCTGGGAAAAAGAAGCTGCCGAGAGATGTGAGGCGAGTGCTGGTGGGTTTTTCCTTTGGAATCCGGACTGCTGCACAGCTGTCCTACCCAGCTCCTGCTTGGTCTTGGTCTTCTTGGACAAGGAAGCATGGGTCCCCCCAGGAAGTTGCGAAGGGTGGGATGAAGAAGCACTGCTCTAGCTTTGGATGAGGGAACACCTCTCTATTCTGGGTGAGCTGACACGACCGCTTGGGGTAGTGAAAGAAGCAGCTGGTGGTCTGGCTGAGCCTTGACGGGCTGTCTGGGGGAAGTCCTGAAGCGTTTGTGAGTGCCAGATGACTCCAGGAGAGTGAATGCGGCCCCTCTCCTTTAAAAGGGTGAAGGACGGAGCCTAAGAAACCACAAACCAGTCACTCTGACATGGATCCCTGGGGGCTCCCAAGCAAATCATGCACAGATGCACTGGGATGCAACTTGAAACCAGTTACCAGAAGTCAGCATGGATTTGGTGAGAGCAAATACTGCTGGAGAAGCGTCTTGCCTTTTGATGGGTTAACTTCGATAGTAGATGGTGGGAATGCTGAATAAATACCTTGAATTCAGCGGAGCATATTGCAAAGAGCTTTATAACCTTCTGATTAGCAAACTAATTAATGACAGCTGTGGATACATAGATGGTACAAGAGGAATGCCAAATAATGATTTCTCATCAGAAAAAATGTTTTTTATTTAGTGACTTGGATGAAGAGGTGGAGGGAGGTCTTACCCAAATTTGCAGGTGACGCAAAACTGGATGTTATACCTGATATCCTAGAAGACTGAAATAAAATTCAAAATGTTCTTGATCGGTTAGACAAATGAATTGAAAATAATAAAATTTAATGGAATAAAGTTCTTCAGAAAGAAGGACTAGGTGCCCAGGTCTAAGATGTGGAGGGATACCTGCCTCAGTGCCTGTGAGGAAGTCCTTGGAACAGGGCTTAATTGTAGACGGAGCGTGTGCCCAGCGCGGTGCCTGCAAACACTGTCTTCCTTTGGTCAGAGCTTCATTTGAGAGCTGTGCCCATGTTTTAAGAAGAATTTAAGGAAATTGGTACAGAAGAACGAAGATGGACAGGAAACAAGATGTTACGAAGAAAAGTGGAAGGAATTGGGAAAATTTAACCTTACAGTGGGATGAAACAGCCCTCTTGAGATGCCCAAAGGGGTGTCGCACAGAGGAAGGCCACGGCCTGTCCTCTTTTTCCAGAATGCAAGTCATGGGACAGTGGAATCAAGTTGCATTCCGGCTGAGGCTAGAAGGAGGTTCATGCTTTCAGGAGGGTTTTCCTCGGCTCCCTACACCAAGCGGGGGTTGGACCTGTTGGCTTCAGTGAAGCTAACTCCTCTCTTGGAGTTCTAGAGTTGGAAGGGACCTTAGGAATGGTCCAGTGCCAACCCCTTCTCTCTGCTAGAGTGAGGGTGGGACATCTCTGAGAGAGGACCATATAACCTCTGTTGGAAAAGCTCCAGTGAGGGAGAACTCATCACTTTGCATGGCAACCTGTTCTGCTGCCTGACGGCTCATTCCTTCTTGGCCTCGAGCCTGAATCTGGTTTAAACAGACTGGTTCTGGTCTTGCCCTCTGAGGCAGTAGAGAATAACCCTGCTCCCTCTTCTCTGTGACAGCCCTTCAGAGGTTTGAAGACTGCTATCTTGCCTCCCCTCAGTCACCTCCTCTGTAGACTAAACTTTCCCAGATGTTTGCAGGGTTGGTTTCCAGATCCTTCACCATCATCATAGCCTTCCTCTGAACCACCCGCTGTGCTTTCTGAACTCTAGTGCCCAAACCGGGATTTGCAGTCATTTGCAGGATTCCAAGTGAGGTCTGTCATATGAGTGGAAGGGGACAGTGTCTAAAATCTGGACTCTGTGCTCCTGTTAATGCACCCCAAAGTAGTAGTTGCCTTTTTAGCAGTTGCACCCCATTGCTGGCTTAGGTTTAATCTGTGGTCAATAGGGACACCCAGATCCCTATTTCCAGTGCTGGTGCCAAGCCAGATCTCTCCACCCTATCTATCTATCTATCTATCTATCTATCTATCTATCTATCTATCTATCTATCTATCTATCTATCTGTCTATCTATGTTTCAAATTTAGTCACCACCCATCTCACTCAGAGAGCGACTCTGGGCAGTTTACAATAAAGATAAGAATTAAAACCAGTTAAAATAGAATAAAAACTATGTTCATAAGTAAATAATATATATATAATATATAACTGATGATATATAATAGCTTATCGACCTGTGGGAGCATTTTCAGGGTGCCAGCCACCCCCAGGGTTGGTTGCCTCTCCTCGAGCCCCACATGAGCTGGCAGAGCCAGGTCGTCACCCCTTTCTGGAAGGCCAGGAGAGTGGGGACCCACCTTTCCATTTTTGCTTTCAGTTTTCCTATCCAGATTCAGACTTTATATTTCTCTTTGTTAAATGTCATCAAATCCACTGATCAAGTCTTTATGAATCTTCTCTGTCTAAAGTATTAGCCAACCTCCCATCTGCCATCTGCCCTCAACTCCCACCTCCGAGTCGGTGCAGATGTTGAAGAGCCCAGGGCCTGCCAGAGCTCTCGAGACTCCTGAGCTGGAGCAGAGCCATTGAGGGCCTTCTTTGGGTGCACTTTCAGTCCTCCTGCGAGCGGCAAGTGGAGCCATCTGGCCTGTATTTTACCCTCCTCGTGCTAAAGAGAACCTGCTGAGGGCTCTGCTGAGGGCTCTGCTGAGGCCCAGGCACGCGATGGGCACGCCCACATTCCCCTGAACGT